TCTGGTGAGAACTGTGTGCCCACCTCCACCTGTCGCCTTTGCCGCACATGTACAACCCTGAGATGGAGATAATTATATGTCCTTAATATTATCATATTAATTATTTCTTCACAGTAATTGTTCTGGAAATATTGAAGCTTCCAAAACATGCTTTTGGTACCCTCTCAGTGTGGCGTTGTTACTATAGCGACCACGCTGTGATTTTGCAGGTTGCCGTAGTAAACTGAATTGTGACAGGCTACAGTGAGCAGACAATGATGACGCAGCAGTGCAGATTCTCTCTGACCAATCAGCAGCCTGCAATGTTTTCATGTCACCTGTTGTTATTGCCTCAGCAGAGATGCCTCAGTTATTGCCTCAGCAGAGATGAGATATATATATATATATATATATATATATCTCTACTGTCCTGTCCATTAAAGCCACAAAAGGCCCCAAAAATTATATATAATATAGCCATATAGGAATAGTATATATATATAGAAAGGATTACGATATAGTAAATTAAGTAAGATGAGGACAGGAAATGGGGAGGCAGAGAGAGAGAATAACACGTAGGAAAAGGCCGTCCGAAGCGGGAGTCGAGCCGGGGGCCAGCTGCAGCAAGGACTGTGGCCTCTATATATGTGGCGCCTGCGCAGCCCACTGCGCTACGCGACGCCCCAGAAGCAGGTGTTTTAAATGCAGGTAAACACGCTAATGAAAGCAGATTGACCCCTTTCCTCCGCCGACAGAAGCCTGATGTTAATGGATCTTAATGGGTTTTTTGACCAGTGAAAAATTAGCTGCATTTTTCCACTCAGTCGGATTCAATAGCTGCACTTATTGAATATGTGCCGTAGTATTTGCTGTGTGAAATGTCACCTGTGCTCTGTTCCCTAAAAGGTCGATGTTTTATTCAGCTGATCGTAGCAACTTCAACGCAGCAGAGTTGTGATTTAGCTTTTTATGAATCAATATGCTGAATTCATGAAGCTCATTAAACTCAGTCGTCCATCAGAACCTTCGTTATTTGGTGTAAGTCAGTAGTTGGTGAGAAATCATGTGTAAAATAAAAAATCAATCAGACCATTGTTTGTTTATTGATTTAGTCGTCACCACTGGAAACAGCTGATCCCTGTAGACTACAGACCTGTTCACACCTGGGGCCGGTGTCACCGAGATATCTCAGACCAGTCTTAGTTTGGCTCATGGATCAGTCTGATGTCAGTCAGACGGTTTCACAAAAAACAAAGACTCATTTTAAGACTGAAACATTAGACACCTCACCGTCAGACCAGCTCAGCACCTAAGAACAATGTTACCATGGTAACAATCAATGACACCTGCGCTGAGCAGTAGCACCCAACAGTTAAAAAACAGGAAACCATGGCTCATAACTTGTGGTTTGCTAGCATTGTTACGGAGAGAATGATGAGAAGGGAAAGAGATTTTAGAGACGGAAGCCATTTTTTTCCGAATCAGATTTTCTATTTTTTCTTTTCATTGTTTCACTCTTCAGGTAAAACGTCCTTGCAACTGTTGAATTCCTCCAGAACACAGACATGTTCTGCTGAGGGTAAACATAGCTGAGCGGTTGGATACAGTTTATCGGTCGGCCATTTTTTTTATTTTGAAAAACATCTTAGTTTACCCAGAATTCATTGCACCACAGTCCGTCTTAAGATAGTCGAACTGCTTTGTGCTCTGAAGTCTGACTGTTTGTTAATCTAAGAGTCACAGTGTGTCTCTGTGAAACTGGCTCCTGGTGTTAACATCTGTCTCAGGTGATCGATCACAGGTGCTCAGCTCTGTAAGTTCAGGTGTGAACGCACCTGAGGCGCATTGAGGACTCACATGAGATCCGATCACTCAGGCCTCATTCAGATAAATATTTTACCATTTCAAATGAATCACACACACACACACAGACACACACACACACACAAAACAGAGCCTCCTGTCTGATTGGTTAACTCCTAATACCTGTTTATTTGCATATAAAGCAGGAAGTGAGATCTGATCACAAGTGGTCACTGGAGACACATTTTAAATCCAGATGTGAACTGTTCTACTGAGAGCTGACCACGTGTGATTGGATAACTGAACACACATGTTAATGCAGGTGTAACCAGGTGTGACCTGGGCCTGTTTGATCAGATATGTCAGGAAGTGTCAACATATCACGTCTCCAGTAACAGGTGCCCTTTAATACGACGACACATGGAACATTTCACTTGTTGTTTTGTTGTCTAGACATCTGAGACATACCTCGCTGACTGACTGTGTGTGTGTGTGTGTGTGTGTGTGTGTGTGTTTGTGTTTGAGGAGGGGGCAGACAGGACTTATCGTACATATCTGAGGTTGAGTCAGAGGAGACGAGTGTCAGCTGGCTTTTATTTTGTTGTCTCTGTTTGAACTGTCGTCTTTTTCCATCTTCCTGAAAACCAAAAATATGCAACACACACACACACACCCACACACACACACACACACACACACACACACACACTGTGTTGTTGTTTGCAGCTGTAATTCGCCTGACTGGAATTTACCTCCAGACGATTCCATGAATTCCACGAGCGGGGAAAACCTGCCAATCCACTGAAGCCGGGATCATGTTGTAACGCTCTCAGACTTTTTCATTTAACTTCATTATTTTTCACTCAAATCCTTACATTGTCACCATGGAGACGGTGCACCATCGGGCAGGTTTCCAGTGGTGTAGTTTCAGACTGTTGATACCCTCTCTCTCTCTCTCTCTCTCTCTGAGTGTGTGCGCCTGTGCTGTTAATTATTCAGGGAGCTTGTCTTAGGTGTGTTGTGTTGCTTTAAGCGGAGCAGCCATGCATGATGTGTCTCTGAGCCGCACCATGATACAGACTGTGAGCTCTCGGCCTACACTGTGCTGGGGGCAAGGACACAGACAGAGACAGTGACCTGGTTTATTCATAGCTGCTCCACTGCTCGTGTTTTGAAGCCTGAGGGATTGCTAAGCAGACTTCCTTACATTAGGCACATTCCTGACCTCGTTAGTGTCTGGCCCGTGAGTTCCCTGCATTCAGAGGTGATTAAAGACCTGAACCGCGGCTCCAGCAGGAGTTCAGCTCAGGTGAAACAGTAGAAATGGATTCATTTTAAATTTAAACTCTCCAAATCAACTGAACCCTGAAGGCACATAAACACACCACGTTCTCTCCTAGCTGACTGCTGGGAGCGTCACTTGGACTCTGGGAAGCTGCAGTCAATCATTAGCTTTAATGAGCGCTTTAATTGGCCAGCCTGAGGCCCGGTTCACTGTACATTTATTAGATTCAATTATGAAGTCTGATGTCGTCTCTGAGCCAAGGTCTCTACAGTGCATCAACACAATTTTAATTATATTATTGTATTTTATGTTTCAGGTAAAGGTAGGTTCAATGTACAGTGAGAAAATCAGTAAAATGAGAATTGGTTTCAGTGGCAGAGCAGACCGTGCAAAACTGTAAAACATGATATTATGAAACACATCACATATGATGGGAAATATTGCAATATTCAATATTATCAATTATCGTTGTGTTGCTATGGAGATGCCTCGACCTACAGACCATGTTTTCCAGATGTAAAACGACATGAGTGTTTGGTACAAGGCCAACAACAATCACAACATAAAAACTAAATAATGGTTTTTATGCATAAAATTATAACAAGATTTTCCACAAATGTACATAAGGTGGTTAAAATGAAGTGGCAATGTTTTATATCCAGAAGGTCAAAGGTCAACTTCGCTGTGACATCATAATGTTCTGTGAAAACACTTAAGGTCACGGTTTAACACTAACTCAGCAGCAGAGACTGTGACCGTGTTTCCTGTAACTTCACTGGTTGGTGGACGTGAGGCAGTAACTCTAGTTTATCGTACTTCAAAACTTCTGTGCTCTGACAGGAAGCCGGTGTTATTTTTGCTCATGTAAGCTAACTAAAATGTACTTTTATAAACTCCATAAATACACATGTGCATTTTGTAACAGCGTTTAACTTGGAAAGTTTTCTGGAAAAGGTTGGTAACGTTCAGTTCCAGTCATATAAGACGTTTGCACGACTGTACACCGAAACACTGTCAGGCCATCAGATTCTTGGCCTTTTCCTGATGTCGGCCATGTGCTGTCCAGCTGTGTGTGTGTGTGTGTGTGTGTGTGTCCTGCATAGAGTGCCAGTAACAGAGCAAACCTTCAGAGGAAAATGAGTCAGTGTTTGTGTGTGAGAAGAGACTGGAGTGATGTAACGTCTCATATTCTCTCCATGATGAGAGACACACACACGAAAGGATCAAGTCTGACACTTGAGGTTGAATTTCTCCTCAGCTGAGGGAGTTACTGAAGGTTGTTGCACAGAATCACTTAAAAGGTTTCTTCTGTTAAGGAAAAACCTTAAGACGTTTGCAGCAATGAATGAGATTTTACTGCAGTAAACTTCCATGGAGACCATTTGTTTGCTGGTGATACCTGTGAACATCTCACCTGTATCGTCTCACAAACCACAGAGCATCATTGACTGTAGAGTTAACCTGAAGAGAGCTGAGGAGGTGGAGCCTTCAGATCAGATCAGAAACTGATGTCGATCAAATCTGTGGAGCAAAATCAATTCTTCTCATTGATGATCCATCAGGTGCAAACTCTGGTTGTGATGTTCGTCCTCTTCATTTACCAACATAAACTCAGACGTGTTGAGTTCAGGTACAATCAGAGGAACCTGAACTATATTTCCTCAAGTGATTCCTCAAGTATAAAGACTAAGATACGGAGGAAACCTGAAACACTTGAATATTTCAAGGAAAAGTTTTAAGGGTGTTTTGTGCATAAAGGAAAATCTTCTGGCAGATTTAAACTTTAGTTTTTGTGTTGACTGAATTTCTCCGTCTCGACTTTGTCAGAAATCCAGGAAGTAAATGTTTTAAACCTCTCTGCTGGATGATGTTTGTATCAGCTGACCTCCAGCCTCAGGTCTAACTCTTCCTCCTTCTCCCTTCTTCCCTTCAGCCCTCCAGTGTTACTGTGACCGCTGCAGCGCCAACTCCAGCTGCACCACAGATGGCGTCTGCTTCGTCGCCATCCGCAAGTCGGGCAGCCGGCTGACCACCGAGCAGCGCCAGTGCGTGCGAGATAACGAACTAATCCCGCGAGACCGGCCCTTCATCTGCGCCCCGTCCGCCAAACAAGATACGGGTATTTACCCCATCTGCTGCACGACGGACTACTGCAACAAAGACCCCAACATCAAGATCTTCCCCGGTAAACACACATACACACACACACACTTCGGTTAATATACATTGACTGTAGTTTCCCAGAGGGCTTTGAGTGTGCACCAACATCATTAGGGAGAACAGATCTATAGAACAGGAGCAGCTAACCGTGTGTGACTGAGAACAAACAGCCGTCAGGTTTCATTCCAGCTGATGAGTTCTCCCTCTAACTCTCTGCTTTCAGTTTAATACGTCCGTTAACTTCCATCCACCAGAACGTTATAGAGGATTATTTAAAATTTACCCATTGTACTTAATTAAAATGCTGAATGTATGAACAGGGTTCTTTAGGGGGGTCTGCTCTCTCACTCTTCTAATCGTCCATAATGTGATGCGATGAATATGTGATATGACTCAGACTGTCTCTCGTGCTGCTCCGGTCTTCAGTTTGCTCTTAGATCCAAAAACAAAGACTTACTCGTTTTTAAACCGGAAACATCAGACACCTTATCCCCAGGCTAACTCAGTCCTAAGACCAATGTTACCATGGCAACAGTCAGTGACATCTGCGCTGACCAGTAGTTCCCAACAACAAGAAACATGGCTCATAATTTGTGGTTTGCTAACATTGTTACGGAGAGGGCGAAGAGAAGGGAAAGAGTTTTTAGAGACAGCAGCCTTTTTTTATTTGTTTTTATTTATTTTCTTAATCAGGTTTTTCTTTTTCATTGTTTCACTCTTCAAGTCAAACGTCCTTGTGACTGTTGAGTACTTCCAGAAAAACACAAACATCTTCTGCTGAGGGTAAACAGAGCCGAGCAGTTGGATGATGTTTCTCCATCAGCCATTTTTTTTTTCCCTTTGAAAAAAGTATTTTATTTACCCAGAATAAATTTTACCACAGTCTGTGTTCAGATAGTCAAGAACAGGGCTGCACGATATATAGCTACACGAAAATTATATTTGGCAGATTTTGAGATTTCAGTTGGAATGATGTTTTTTTGAATTTAATTCTCACTGAAAAAAATCTAGAAAATGAGGATGATGTGATTTTTGTTGTTGTTGTACCAAACATAATGTTCCTTTTACTTCTGGAGATTATGATTTATTGGCCGGAGCGTCTCTGTAGCACCACAACACTGGTGGTGCTAACATAATGTTGTGAAACACTTTAAATCAAAACAATTGCAGCTTCTGCCATTTGGGTTTTGCACTTGGTCATATTGAGATTTGGATTATATTTCCTTTAATTGTGCAGCTCTGGTCGAGAACTAAACTGCTTTGTGCAGCAGGTGAATTCAGACTCAGTCTATCTGAAGTCTGACTGTTAAATCTAAGTCACAGTCTGTCGCTGTGAGACTAGTCTCTGGTTTTATTTCATTTTCTTCTTGATTCTTGGGTTTCTTTTGTGTTTATGAATGAAACTGGTCCCACATGATGTTTTGTTTTTCAGCAGAATGAAGCCATCTGGGTTTTGTTTACTTCAGTTCGTGGGTCAGTGTCATCCATCTTAATTAGGTATCTTTAACAACGTTATTCAGGGCACTTGTTGTTGTTGTTGTTGTTTCAGTAACCACGAGGAGTTACTCCCCCCCTGTCATCTGCCTCTGCCGGTAACTTCACAGTGAGCGCGCGTTGCCCTCTTAAATTCCTGCTGAGATTTGTGGCGGCTCAAATATATTTATACAATACTTGCTAATGCAGTTTTAAAGATGTCAGTCAGAGCTGGAGGACGGCTCCGGCCTTCACAGCAGTTCCTCTGGATTTTAATATACAGCCACAGAATAAGAAACTCTAAAAGAAACTTCAAATAATCCATCAGATCTCCCACAGTGCTATTACTGGAGTCACAGATGTGCCGCTCGAACATGACTCCAATTCCAGTGAAGGTTGCTCAGTCAGGTTTTCACTTGAGTTAAAGTACTGCAGCACTTGATTTTAAGTCGGTTGACCAACCACAGCAGAAAAAAGGAAACTACTACAGGCTGTCTGCTGCGTTGACCACGACTCACGTCTCTGGTGACGGGTCTTCATCTTCAGCCCCGTCTTTATCCGACGCCGCCATCGTTAAGACACTGACGGGTTCAAACAGTCTGAATCCGTGCAGCATTAAGCAGCTTTGATTTTAGCTGTGGCTCACGTTTCGTTGTATTTCACATTGTTGCTCTCACACTTGTAATTAGATTAATTTGGCGTTGCAGTTTTTGTTGCATTCCCACAATTCTTTGCTTTTTTTAAAGTACATATTTTTGGGCTTTTTATGCCTTTATTGATAGCACAGTAGAGAGAGACAGGAAACGGGGAGGCAGAGAGAGGGGGAATGACCTGCAGTAAAGGGCCGTCTGATGCGGGCCTCGAACCGGGGGCGACTGCAGCGAGGACTGTGGCCTCTACACATGGGGCACCTGCTCAGCTTTCTTCTCAGAAGAAATTATTCTTCTGTTTTCAGCCTTTAAAATGCAGTTAACCAAGGTTACATAAGCCATACAGAAATACAGCTCCTGTCACATGTAAATGAGATATTTCAGTTAAAAGACCAGTTTTTTCTTGAATGCGAATGAGATTCTCAGAGAACTAAGGTTGTGAATTGTTCCCCCAAGCTGGTGCATTATAAAACATATTCATGACTTTAAGAATGGACCCAAAGCTGTTAAATGAATGCACTTTTCAAGGTTGCAAATAAAGTCGTAATATTACAGGAATAACGTAATTTTGAGAATGAATTCCTAAGATTTCAAGAAAAAACATCATAATATTACAAGAATAAAGTCATAATATCACAAAAATGAAAAATGTAAAATTTCAAGAGGAAAAAAAACAATTTTTAGGAATAATACATCAACCAATCAAACAGGTGAAAGGACAGCAGGGTCGAAGGTCAGTGTCTGAGCCTGAGCTGCTGTTTGTCTGACAATAGAACAGAATCAGTTTCTTCACAATCTTTACAATGATCTGATGATGATGATGATGATGATGATGATGATGAGCCAGAAGATGAAGGTTGTCCTTATTTGTGAAACCTAAAGAACTTCACAGGATGTTCCTCATTTTAAAGCCTCTGATCTTTCCCTCTAAAACAACACGCAACCTAAAATAAGACTCTATCCACATAATATTATGACTTCTTTAAAATTAAATTCTGAATTTATTCTCATTATGACTTTATTTTTGTAATATTATAAATTTTCTTGTAAAATTATGACTTAATTCTGATAATATTATGACTTTATACTCGAGGTGTCAGATCCCCCCCTCAGTGTGGTGCTAATCCTCCGTCGTACTAACTCACCCTGGTGCAGCAGCGTCAGCGTGAACCAGCAGAAACAGGTGTTTCTTTCCTCCAGCTCTTCACTGTCTCCATAGTTTTTAAATTCAGCCACACATCTTCCTTTAGACCTTCGGTGGAGACACGTCCGCCGTGTTTTTTGTCTCTCTCGTCGCGTGATCAGATCTGGTCATGGAGAAGGATTCACAGCGTCACTGGACTGTAAAAGACAGTAAAAGATTGATCTCAGGGTTTTATGAATCAATATCAGATTATTTAAATGAAGTTTGAAACATCCCTTGTAATGATCCATTTGAATTACTTTTGAAATGTTAAAGGTCTGTAGTTCTGCTTCATACTTTAGTGGAAAACATATTTTTAAATTAAAATTTTTATAATCTGATTTTCACCACTTTTAAATTAGCACAGTTTTATTGTTGCACCAAGGCCAGTTCTCAAAGGAAGAGCAGAGGCTGTTTAATATTCCCGTTTGTAAAGCGAAGCCTCGTTCAGACCGATTCCTCTGGAGGAGGACAGGTGAAGTTAACGTCGCCTGCATCCCGGCTGTGTATGTTTCCGCCCCTTCACCTCAGTCATATTTACAGCTGTTTCTCTGTGACTCGTCCTGTTAATTAAACTTCATCCAGTTTGATCAGCTGCTTCGTCTTTCTTCTGCTTTTTTTTTAATTTTTTTATCAGCTCAGACTTTTGTGTGAAAAAGGAGGAAGTGGAAAATGTTTTTGCTGCTCAGATGAAACACAAAACAACAAGGCACAGACAGGATGTTATAAGGATGTGTGCAGCTGCTCTCTGACTGACAGCAGACCTGTGTGAACGAGGCTGTAGTTAACATGAGGTTCGGTTAGTTTCAGTGCGCGAACAGGTGATGGAGAGAGAAACATACCTACCGTTGCTATGGTGACATGCAGTTTAAAGATATGGATTAAATGAACTCCTGCCTTTTCTGTTTCATACAATGTGAACCCAACAAACGATACACGCCAGCTGCGTGTTCGTAAGTAGAAGTACAACATACAGAATCAATCATTGGGTGATCGGATTACCACAAATTATTGATCTTATTTTCTTCAAGTTTTATGCCTTCATGTCGTCCGACCATCTCAGTCTCCTGGACACGATATCTCAGTAGAAGAGCCACTGAACTTCTTCAAGTTTGGCACAAACGTTCACCAGGACTCAAGTATGACCTGATGAGAAATTGGTGGTCGAAGGTCGCGGTCACGGTGACCTCAGAAAACACTTTTACTCAAGACTTTAGCAGTTACGACTTTATATCAGACTCTGGATAAACAGGGATGTAACCTGGAACTAGTCCGAGCGGCGGAGGGATACGACCACGAGGAGGTGGTTCTGGTTTCACTGTCACATTTTCTTGCACCGTGACTTTATTATTCCATTGCACAGATGTTGTTCAGTGCAGTGGGTCTTAAAAGTGACAGCCCTCCTCCCTGTAACACATGACAGTCTGAGGATACGAGCTCATTATAGACGACTCAGACCTGTCTTGTTCTCTCTTCTCCCCGTCGGACTGACGGGCCGAGACAGAGTCCGTCTACCTTTTTATACCTCCCTCATCTCTCACTTTGATTAGGACCGTCTGGTTTTCACTCCCCGCTCTGCCACTGGTGTTTGTTCCCTCCATCACTGATGGCGGAGGTTCATCAGAAAGGTTTTACAGCCCTGAGAGTGTTTGTCTTGTTATTCTCTTCAGCTGTGAGGAACTGAATCACTCCAACAAGTCAACACGAGGCTGTGAAGAGGCTCTTACTGATTACATGTGTGCTGGGGGGAGCTGCTGGGATTAAGACGTGTTGTACTCTTCCCCCGCTCCATGTCTCATAACTCAGTTTTAATCTCACCCACTTGTAGGAGCTGGTTATTTGGGTGGATGTCACTGAAATCTGTAATAAATGACTCTGCTCCTCTGTAGTGAGGAGCTCTGATCTCTGGTCAATAATAATCAATAATAATGATGCAGATTGTGGAGGAAATGACCTTAATTTACCTGCTTTCATTCATTTCATGACACACAGTCAATGTGGAGGTTAATTCACGTTCTTTTAAAAGTCACAATGGAAATCTTACCACGTTTGACCCGTTAACTTTAACTGTCTTAGGGAGTTTAAAAGTGAATCCACATGAAGGTAACAGCTGCAGCAGCACAAGGTTCAATCAACAGTATGATCATTTTATCATATGTTCAGAGGAAATAAATTCAGTCTGTGTCAATCACATCAGCACTTATATAAGTTTGTTTTAATTTAGTTTTTCTTTCACCTTTCAGTTTTCAGCAAAAGAGGAAAAAAGCCTTTATTATAATGATTTATAATCAGTGACAACCTGTGAGGCTGCACACATCACAGCACGCTTTAAAGACGTTTCACTTAAACCAGATAATGAGCCTTTAATTAGAACTTTTTAAATATTTTATTCAGTGAAGCAAGATATAGAAGAAGACAGTGATAACATGGAAAGACATAACGTAAGATGTATTTAGAGCAGGGATGCCATGGTTACGGCCCGCGGCGCGGACCCGGCACGACTGAACATCACATCCGGCCGTGGGTTGATATGGGAGAGCATTTTTTGTCTGCTTTGCGGAGCAGGTAAAGTTGTTTTTTAGAAAGACAAACGCCAAAAATGTGAATTAAATCAGATAATTTCGTTAGGTAAAAATGTGTTAATGACTGAATAAAATAGGTTACTACTTTATTAATCCTGCGTGAGCCTGCTGGTGTGACTCTGGCGGGAGACAGACAGCGCAGTGATGAGCCCCCCCCCCGTCGCGTGCGGGGAAGGATAGCAGCCAACCAGTGAAGGAGACGCTCGCCCATTCCCTAAGCTTACATTGCTTGCACAACACTTTTGATCAGCACCTCAGCGATTTGTTTATTGTTGTTGTTCATATTTAAACTAGTCTGCACAGAGAGCGTGAGGGGGCGGCCGAGAGAGAGAGAGAGAGAGCTCTGCGGTCTTGGCCATTAGTTCATGTTATTTTTATGTAGGTAATATGTTGTCAAATATGTTTAAAGTTAAATAAACTAGCCTACCTATACAGTAGTTATGTCTCGTTGTATTAGTTTGTCCTGGTATTGATGTGATGCGCGTCATTGAATAAAATAGATATTAAAACAGTTTGAATATATGTGTTTTTTAGAGGGAATATTCGAACGTCATTTTTGAGCAGTGTTGACAGCGTAGCATGGATAGGACAACGTTACGTTTTCAGAGGGTACTGTGACTTGCTTTAGGCTTCTATGTAATTGTAGGCCTCATTGTGAGGCTATTGTGGTGCCAATGCAATTTCTCTTTGATGTGTAGGCTTTAATGAATAATTTCAAACAGTGATGTTGAGTCAGTGTTTGGTCTTTTCAGTTCGAAAGTGTAATTCGGCCCGCTGAGGTCTCACTTGAAAAAAATCTGGCCCCCTGACCCATTTCACCCTGGCATCCCTGAACTAGAGGGACAGAGAAATAGATAGAGGAAATAAGCAAGTACGGTGTGCGGTATTTATTTCCTTTCCTTCCTACCAGGCAGAACACGAGCACTTGGGTGTGAATTAGCACTTAATGTTATTACTTTCCTCTGTTCTCTCAGCGCTGGGTTTCACTCGGCGGGTTCAGCTGGAAAAACATGATGTCACATGTTTTAATGTGGCAGTCAGGAACATGTGGACGATAGTTAAAGGTCCATACGGTCTAAAGGTAGATGTCCATGCGTTGTTTGATCATAAAGCAGGTCTAGGAGCAGAGCTTCCTCTCTTCTGATTGGCTCACCGACCTGTTGTAGAGCTCCAGAGAGGAGATGTAAAACTACAAATATATCTTCTTATGGATATCTCAAAACACGGAAGAAGAGGAAAATATAGAGCTTTAAATCTGAAGAAAGTTGAGGAGTTTGCTCATGTTGTCAGGTCTAAACTCTGAGACTGTAGTGGATGAGATGAACACATCTATGTAGAAGTCCTTTAAAAATCCTGTGTACAAAATGACCCGATACACCAGTGTTTCCCCTGAATTACGAGCAAACAAGCAGAGTGATTTCACCGTTTAGTGGAAAGTCTTTACTGAACCGACTCCTTTGGCAAAGGAAATAGAAGTAAGATAAAAATCAGAAGTGAGTGAAACACAGTGAGGAGAAGTCGTGAGGACAGGTTTCAGTCTGGAACCTCAAACAGCTGAGGGGAGATGTTTCGTTGTGAGGGCTGACACTGGGAGACGGAGCTGGGGAATCCATCATGTCAGTGACTGTCCTCACAACTATAGGAAGACCAGAGTGTGTGTGTGTGTGTGTGTGTGTGTGTTAGAAAACACACAAATCTCCCATCAGCCCTAGCAGATGGATGGTGCCCCCGCACCACTTGGCCTGTTAGCTTCCTGGCTCTCGGCTAACACTCGAGGCCGGCCACTTGTCAGCCTCCGGTCTGTTGGACGTGAACCTCTCCAACAGCGAGCGGCCTCGTTCGGTCCGTCACATGTTGGTGTCGGACCCGGATCTGAAGCCCCTCCCCCACAGGTCTCGTACACACTGCGATGTTTCTGATCTGTCTGTCTCTCCTCCGCTCCGCAGGCCCCACGGTGAAGCCTCCTCCTCTGGGCCCCGTGGCCCTGGCAGCGGTGATCGCGGGCCCCGTGTGCGTGCTCTGCCTGCTGCTCGTCGTGGCGTTCTACGTTTGCCACAGCCACAGGGGTCTGGGGGCCGGAGGGGCCGGGGCCCACCACCACCACCACCACCGGGTGCCCAACGAAGAAGACCCCTCCATGGACCACCCCTTCATCACTGTGGGAACAACGCTGAAGGACCTCATCTACGACATGACCACCTCGGGGTCTGGATCAGGTGGGTGCTGACGTTCCTGCACAGTTCCTACAGACTAGATAAAGTCGCCAGATTTTCCTTTTCTTCAGCTTTATGTGATTTTTGTGATTTTATTCTGACCATCTTTCAGTGAGGACAGGGGGAGCCAGATTTCCATGTCACTGCTAAACATTTCCCGTCCACACACAGAGAGATCCTCATGCATTTAATTTGGGAATTAGTTAAGGATCTGTTGATATTTGTGAGAGTCCAGGAGCTTATGAGAAGGTAACTCTTAGTCAAGGTGTCACAGAAGTCGTACCTCACCTTAGCACAAAGCCAGGTACAGACCTCCGCACCACTGCAAAATAATAACTATTGATTAGAAGATTCAGAAGCTGAAAAATGACCAAGAATCTTATCATTGTTTACATTCAGTTTACACAAGAATCTGTTTTGATGTTTATCATTTTTATCTTCACAAAAACTAGTTGTACCTCGTCTTCTTAGGTCGATATTCTATAATACCAAATATCCTGATATCTTCCACCACATGTGATATTTATCATAATATGAAAAAGAAACGGCCACTGAATGTTTCTGAGGGTTTTGCCAGAAAGCTGAAAACAAAAACATCATATATCAAGATATTCCATTTTATTGTCCAGTAGAACCTCAACAACAGTTAAAAGTTTATTTATGTGGATCTTTAAAAAAGTGTATCATATTTTAACCGTGGTCATAACTCAGGGTTTATAGAGGCTCCTCTGAGTTACAGTTGTTACTGTGTGTGATCCTGTTTCTGTGAATATCTGTCTGTATTTTAAGTCTTAGTGTGTGTGTGTGTGCGGGCGCACAAGTCGCTGCAGCTGTACACATCTTAAAGTAGAAGTGTGTATAATGACTGGCTGGCCCAGATTCAGGCTATACACACACACACACACACACACACACACACACACACACACACACACACACACACACACACACTGTACTGGCAAAAGCTCTTCTTTATGCTACCCATAAATTAGCACCTCTCTGTGCAGACTGGCACCTCCGACACACTGCCAAGGAAGGACTTGGATTCAGTCTTTGTAGCTATTTACACCATATTGTACAATATGCAACTGTGTGTGTGTGTGTGTGTGTGTGTGTGTGTGTGTGTGTGTGTGTGTGTGTGTGTGTTGCCTGTTGAAACTGGAGGAGGATTTTCATCCCTCTTCCATTTCCGTTTCCTCATCAGCAGTTAGCTAAACCAGTGAGGTGAAAAAAAACCTGTTTCCCATAGTTTCTGCAGAATCTCACATCAGTAACTTTGGAAATGTAAAAAAAAAAGTAAATTAAATGTACTGTCAGTTTGTAGAGAGTTTTGAGCTGGAGTTTGGAAAGATCAAGTGATTGAAAGCTTGTGGTTTATATCGGTGGTCGGCAACTGGCGGCCAAAACTGGTCCTTCAGATTATTTTGGTCTCAGACTGACAGTCCCACATTTAGTAATAATGTTCAGAGAACCCCCCACCCCCACCTGAAGGTGATCATCATACTGTTATCAATGAGTGTGAATGACGGACACGTCACTGTGGTCAGTGAACAGCACCTGGTGCTCAGATCTCAGCAGCAGTTACACACAGGATTCTGCCTACAAAATAAAAGCATGAGAACATTTCTTTTGTTTCTTTTATGTTCTTTGCGGTAATGCTTTTTATATCAAGCAATTATGAGCTCTAATTCTGAAAGGTTCTGACAGGAAGTATTCTGTTACTTGTTTGACAGACCTGAATTAGCCGACACAGGTTGTGTGATATGAAAAAAATCAGAGCGCTCAAACATACAGTATATGACTGTGGGAAGAAAATTCCAGTTTCATTTTGATCAATTTCTTAAATCAGCTTCGGATGATGTTCCCGCCGCCTTCTCCCTTCACATTCTCCCTGCTGCAGAACAGAAACACCGCATTAGGTTTTAGATTATTTAGGAACCGTGACGCCATGACGTCCTGTGTTTTAGAGTTAAGTTTAGAGTACAGTTTCAGATCAGAGCGACTCTGATCAGTGCACAACAGTAAAAAACAGTGCAACACACAACAACAGACACAAGGACACAGGATAGTAGATTCAGGTTTATTAACTGAGGTTTGGAGGTTTTGACATCGAGTCTTCTGCCCCTTCACAAGTCCTTGGTCTTCCTCCTCCTCCTCCACCTTCCTTGTTTATATTCCTTAAGCAAACGTGTTCCTCATCATCATGTCGTTTTCTCTCCAGGTCTACCACTGCTGGTCCAGAGGACCATCGCCAGGACCATCATCCTCCAGGAGAGCATTGGTAAGGGGCGTTTTGGAGAGGTGTGGCGGGGCAAGTGGCGCGGCGAGGAGGTGGCCGTGAAGATCTTCTCCTCCCGCGAGGAGCGCTCCTGGTTCCGCGAGGCTGAGATCTACCAGACTGTGATGCTGAGACACGAGAACATCCTGGGCTTCATCGCTGCTGATAACAAAGGTGAGAAACCTCTGGAGGTCGGAGGCTGATCCAGATCAGACCATGCACCCCGAATCCAGCGAAGAAGAATAGAATATAAATCATCAAAGTCTCAGAATCTGAACTGTGAAAATCAGAGCCTCGTCATCCTTCTCCTCTGTAAATGACAGTGTGGGCTGATTTAATTGCATGTGAACCTTGAGCTGTCAGAGCAGAAAAGCAGCTCAGCTAAAGGTGAGATCGGTGCAGACGAGTAACGGCTGTGAATAGACGGGTTGGCAGACAGTACGGGGGAGTAACGGCTCGCTGTGAAGACCAGACTTCACCACAGTTTAACAGCTCAAAGTGATTTCAGACGCCGTGACTCCTCAGGTTCTCTGCTCCAAAGAAAACAAGACGGGAGAAAGAGTTAATCATTAGCTGATCAAAAAAAAGGGGGGGGGGGGGCATGATCAGTCTGTTTACTGGATGGTTCATCTGTGTCGTAATGACCCCGACTTTCCTGCTTTTGCAAATGCCCACTGTGTGATACATCAACATGTCCTGGTAGATGATGCTTAACTCCATCTGTGCACACGAGCTCCAGCACCAGCTGTTTGAATATCTCCTCGAGGAGGTGGAGACAGAGACTTCTCCATGCAAACGCCAGGAGGTCCTGAAACGTCCCAGAGCTGGGACGACGCATCGCTGCTGGACGTCACGGTGACACCGAACACGCTCAGCTGTCACCTGCAGTGGAGAGAGAGAGGCCTGTCACATATGTTGAGCTCTGTGAAGAGACAGAAGAAGAGACTTGAGCATTTGCCAAAAGACACAAAGGTCACATTTGGCGACCAGGAGGTTTTACAGCCAGAGCGCTACGATGTCCAATCGGACAAACTGTCGGCTGAAGTCGGCAGCAGATTCAAAGAGCTGGACTAGATGGAGAGCATCCTCTGACGACAGATTTCCAGCGTCGGCTCTGTCTGATGCTTCAGGCGCCACGACCTGAATGTGAAAAACCACCTCATGTGAGGGTTTACGTTTCCATGACTTGTTTTTAAATCAAGTTGTGCATTAAGCAGGTTCATGGAAACACTCCTACTGTGGGTCAAATCTTTGTCAAATGGTGTTTTTTGTAAAAGAAGCTGATTGAACCAAAGCACAGAGCCGCCTCACTTGACTGTATGAGGTCGGCCTCCTTATGAACCCAGCTGTAAACCACCGGCTGAGAGAGTCACAGCCGCCTCATTGACTGACCTGAGTACGTACAGCCACGGTGACGACTGTAAGTATTGGTAGCTCTGTGGATCTTAAGTCAGTGTTGTACCCTCCTTATCTGCGAGTACACAAGGGTCTGCTGGTGTCGCCATCAGAGAGCGTATGTGAGGATCTTGCGGGGATGTAGATTCTGTGTCGAAAACCATGGCGCTGTCCGTGGTGCTGAAGTCACAGACGGATTTATGGAAACTCCTCATCTGATATTCACTCGTCTCTAAAGCAAATATCAAGAGCTCTCCGCTCGTTTTAAGAGACGAGTTGCAGCAGCGTTCAGAGCGAGCTCTGTTTCCTGAAGTGGTGAAGTAGCTGTTGTTAGAGTTAAATGCTGCTTAGTGATCTTTGATTTCCGTAGCGTCCCTTTGACCGTCGCTGCTTAAAGTCCCTAGTCCCAACGGTACCAACTGCACATGAGCTGGAAAACAAACATGGACGCTTAGTGTAAGGTCAACCACACCACACCTCACCTCTACAGGTCATCTTTAAAAGAAATCCACAGCTGTCACAGTATTAATGAAGAAACTATCCACTGTTTTTAAAAGTAAAGGTCAAACTCTTGACCTGACCTTTGTCATTGTCATTCTCACAGAAGTCTGTGTTTTATTCTTCCCCGTTCATCTGTGATGGACTGAAGGTTGAATCTTTGTGGGTAAAAAGAAGAAGTGAGTTTGAGTGGGAGGATTTAACTTTCCTCTGCCAACATCACAGGTGACTTTATGTCGGTGACAGCTGCTCTGATTAGGAAGAGGTTTGGAGATGAGTGGGTCTGAAGGTTTCTCTCATTCACTCCCATTATAACGAAGCTTCACAGCATGAATGGGATTTAAACATTAAATAAAACAAAAAGTGTCAAAACACGAGTCTGAAAACACCGAACATTTGAGAAAGTAAAGGTCCAGTGATGAGTTAGGAATCTGTCTTTAACTCTTCATCTTCCTCTCTGTGCGTAGATAACGGGACGTGGACTCAGCTGTGGCTGGTGTCGGACTACCACGAACACGGCTCCCTGTTCGACTACCTGAACCGCTACACCGTCACCGTGGAGGGAATGATCAAACTGTCCCTGTCCACGGCCAGCGGCCTCGCTCACCTGCACATGGAGATCGTGGGAACACAAGGTGAGTCGCACACATTCGTACTCGTCCCGGGCGCACGTGTCCTTTTTATTTTCACAGTTAATAGTTCGGTATCTCAGATTTTCTTATGGATTTTGAATCAAAGAATGGAGAGTGATACACACGCAGCTAACGAGCTAAATCTAGAAGTCGACAGTGAATAATCCCAAAAGTAAATCTATCAGGTCTAGCTCTAGAGATCAGATCTCATGGATTAACTGAAACTGAAACCGGAGTGAAGAACAGCAGGCTGGTGACCAGAGAGTAGTGATAGAGAAGTAACTGCTCTCCTCACTGTATCCAGTTTTTATACGGTCAGACCAACCAATCACATTTAAATAAACTGATCTTTTGAATGTGGCCTGTTCATGATCGGTCAAGTCCCCTAGAGTCGGGAATCCGTCGGCCTGAGTGAAGCTGTTCTGAGCTGAGTGAACGTGCAGAGGGGAGAGCGTCTGGAGGGAAATAAGAGTCAGAGTCTGAGCTGATGCTTCCTGTCGCAGTAAACGTCGGTCTCCTCCAGACGTCACTCGCACGAAACCATTTCAAGCTTCCTGTTCCAGCTGGCTCTACGTCTAATATCAAAGAAGTGAAACTGCAACCAAGAAAATTCAGAACACAGTTGAAATGATTCACGTGAAGTTTCAGCAGTTTGCAGCCACGTTGAACACCTGAGTGTCTCTGTGTCTCCAGGTAAGCCGGCTATCGCCCACAGAGACCTGAAGTCAAAGAACATCCTGGTGAAGAAGAACGGGACCTGCTGCATCGCGGACCTGGGTCTAGCCGTCCGCCACGACTCTGCCACCGACACCATCGACATCGCTCCGAACCACAGAGTGGGAACCAAAAGGTAGTCTCATCTTCTTCTTTTTTTTAAGAATCCAAACAGGTTCTTATCAGTTATTCTCCTCTACATCTTGTTCTGTATTCACCGATTCTGTCGGGAGGAAACTGAAATCCTCTTCTCAGGTGGAGTCGCCGCTGCTTCTCCGTGCAGGCAGCTGGTGCGTTGTTGACTCAGAGAGGGAGAGTAAATCTGTGGATTGGGGCTGTAAATAAGGAAGTCAGGTGGATAGTGTGTCAGCGACTATTTAATCTTCAGGCGGAGACTCTGTTTCTATTTCCGCTCAAGTTTACTGGATTCAAGTTCAGATCAGTAATCTTGTCAGTTTTGGGTAGAAACGGGTCACGCTGGTGCTCAGCCTATCAGACGTGGCGCTGTGTGTTTGCGCTGATGACCCGGGTCTCTCGGGACCTCAGGACGTCATGGACCTTGAAATGACTCCTCTGCTGATTTGCCAGACACTCGTCCACTAAGAGGCCTCGAGTCTTTCCTGCTTTCTTCATGTGCAGCTCAAGGACGTTAAAAAAGCACAGAAACACTCGCTGCTTTAAACCTTTTACCACCAACCTGCTCTTTATAGTCTTTAAGGTCTATTTCATTATTTTATTGATGCTCCAGCAAAGTTCCCGTATATTTTTAAATGTTCTGTTTTAGTTATTTTTTTTGTTTTTTCCAGAACTGCGGAGTGAGAGTTTGAGTGTGGTGCAGCAACAAAATCACATTTAAATACAAGTCAAATTACTGCCTTTGAAAAGTCTCTTATTCAAAGCTTATAAAAAGTTAGTGTTGCAGTAACCACACACACAATTATTCATGACTTCCTCCACTTCTAACTCTCCAGACTGGAGCCTCTCTCTCTCTCCCTGTGTTTCTGTGTCCACACGTCTCTTGTTCCATTATGTAGACGTTTCTCGCTGCAGGGTAGGAAAGGCAGCGGTGCACTGAGGCCACGGCGGCGCTCTCTCTCTCCCACCGTCTTCCTCTTCCTCCCTCCCACAGTGATACCAGCACAGCTTTGGTCCTGGAATGTTTTTCTCTCCTCTTCTTTTTTTTGTCTTGTTTATTTCTTCCTCCTGCCTCCTCCTCTCGTCCGCGGCGCTCTGCCGGTGGTTTGATGCTGCGGGTGTGTTTCAGCGGCTCTAAATGATTCATTAAGCCTCGGGTCAGTGGAGACAGAAGCTACGGCCTTGGCTGAAACCCACGTTACATACTGATGATCTGATTCCACCAGAGTTTATTTAACTTTCTATCACAATGCCAAACTTCCAGCCAAGTACCAGGGAGCGCAGTGAGCACACACCTGAGCGGAGGACGGTGTGAATTAGAAAAGGTTAATCAGAGCAGTATTGGTCAGGTGGGATGTGATCTATCTGTGGCAGAGTTGTTGATCGATTCAATTCAGTTTTATTTATGAATCTCAAGGCGTTTTTACAGGGGAAAGACCTCGACATCTGATCAAAAATGAGTTCAAATATCACGTTTTAACTGTGAGTGACCACTGAGCCTGTTGGTGGACAGTGTGTATGTGTTGTTGTTTCAATATTAAATCAACTCCTATGTAAATTCAAACATTATTATTTGGTTGTTGGACGTCACTGTAACCGATCGCTGTGTGACTCCGCCTCCTCGCGTTGCTACGACAGTTCACAGTTTATGTTTTAAGATTTACGTCAGAAACGATCAGCACGACATTTGAAAGGAAATGTGGATGAAGCTAACTGTTAGCCTTGAGCTAAATATCACCAGTTATCAGCCTGGTAACTATCAAACATGGACAACAGACCAGATCATGGAGCGGAGGATTAAGACCGAGTCGGTTAAAAGAAAATCACATGAAACCTCCGACACAACAGGAAGTGTTCAGTTTCACTTGTAGTGTCATCACTGCAGAGACTCGTGGTGCGTTTGATGACATCCGGCCAGTGTTCATGAGTGTGATAAGTTGGATGCAACATAAAAAGCATCACTTGTTGCCGTGCAGGGGATTGATGGTTAAAAAAAGTCTTACATCATTAGACGAGGAGAAAAGTTCATCACCGTGTTAAAAACACATCAGTTTATTTACATCTCTCCCTGATCCTGCTACAATTCACAATCTGTGAAAAAGCAAATATTTTTCATTCAGAAGTTTAACGTCTGGACACGACGTTTGACGTGCTTCACTCAAAGTTTCTTCTTTAACCACAACTGGTTCATATAGATCCTGCTCAAACATAAACGTGTTAAACTTTAAGGTGAGCAGAGAAACTTTCCCCTCTCTGAACATGAATGTGGAAAAACACACAGTAAATATAATATATAATATGAAATAAATAATTCAGCTCAGTGAAGATCAAACATCATGAAGTAAAAAGAAGAAAAACACATTTTTGAGTGCAGGGCGCCTTTGAGGACGTCTACTCCACGTTGGCTTGAAATGATGATGTTGCTCAGAAGCGTTGCTCATATTGAGCCAGTTAGTCCTCACACCTTGTGTTAAGGTGCTTTCACAGTGCGTTTCTGCCAGTTTCGCTTCTTTCAGTCAAACTGGATGAAGACGACTTGAAAACAAGAGTCTGAGTTCACTTCCTGTCTGAGTGTTGCCAATTCTTTGTTGTGTGGAACTAAAACGGATGAAAACGACCTTTTTGAATCCAGCTGCTGATTCTGGAAACTATCCACAAAGCATCTGTTTTATTAATTTGTTTTTTATCTATTTATTTTCTGCCTTTATTTGATAGAGACACAGGAAAGAGAGAGTGGGGGACATTTATCATATCTTTCTTTTATGTTCAAGCTAAACATGTGGAAGTGACTTCAGTGTGAAATGGTTCATCTTGTTCTCATTCAGTCACTGATTCAACGATGACTCTTTATCAGGTGTCGGTGAAGAGACGTGGCGGTAACAGTTCACACGTGAACTGTTAGTGATTTAAAAACCAGAGCAACCAAAGAGATTCGAGATTCTCTGTGTTTGTCTGAAAGAATAAAGTTCGACTTGATGAGGTTTATACCTGATTTTATTCAGACACATCTTGATAAAAGCCTCTTGTACAGATTGAAACGCTCCCTGTGTGGGTTGTGCTTGAACATGCACACAGATAAAGATTTCTTTCTTTTTACATTTGATTAACTTGCTTCTCCCTTTTCGTCTAAACTTCTTTAATGAAGCTCTCTTGTTTTCAGTTTGATGTTTTCCTCTCTTGATTCATCTGAAGCACCGGCAGTTTGCTAACGAAGGCCGTCCATTCATTATCTGTTCACAGATCACTTGAAGAATTCAGTTAATTCTCGGTTCTCTGATAAAGTTATTGGATTACGCTGTTAGGAGTGTGTGGCTGAGACTGTGTGCACATCAGGTTTGTTTTCATTGATTATCAGATTTCAGTGTGAGCGGTGTGATTGAATCTCATCAGCCGGTTTGACACGGTCAGTAATGTGAGGTTTTTGTGATTCTTGTCCAGCACAGATTAAATCACAGCGGGTCGCAGCAGGTCACAGTGTGTCACGGGTTTTAACCGCGACGTGGCTGTAGAGTCGTTATCAGATCAGTTCTGCCGCCTCCAGACGGACTTAATGAACTGAAGGCTTTATTCTGACAGATTGATCTACAAGTTACTCACTAATTTATAGATTGATGCATATTTTAATAACACCAATCAAAATGTGTTGATGAACATTTTAAATTCACACTAATCAGCTCTATTAAGTCCTGCTCATTTCCTTCAATTATTCCTGTCTTAAAACAGTCAGGTACGAACATATTAACATTTAAACAGTTTTAGTTGGCTGTCATCATCCCTCCTGTTCATACCACACCAAACAAATATCCCTTCATACTGTCCCTTCAGCGTTTTTATCTGAAGCTGATATGATGCTTCAGTAGTCTGTGTGAGACGAGTCAAGTGAATATCTTCCAAAGTTGGTCTTTTAATATAAAATTCCCTCTCTTTGTTCCCCTGTTGAGCTGCAGCAGCAGGATGGTAATAAACTGATTTCCACTTGGTTTGTCTCACTCATAAAAGCTTTAGATATACTTTTATAAATATCTTTGTACACAGACGTTTAGATTTTATCCCTCATCACTTTTACTGGAAGCCCATTAGGAAGGTGTCACTTAATGGCCGGTATGAACAATGTGATAATAAAGATTAAATGTTTTATACTTCGCATTGTTCAGCAGGAAAATGTAGCTCAATGAAGTCGACAGTACGTGTCCAAAATCTTATGTCTCAATATGAGGTATATGATATTATTGGCCTGGGTTTCTTTCTTTAATAATATAATAATATTGTATTTTATGTTTCAGATGTGTTTTTTAATAATAGATTTTATTATTTTATTTTTCAGGTATTTTTTATAAGATATATTTGTATTATTGTACTTAATGTTTCAGGTATAACTGATGTTGCCACTAAACAGCAGTTCAAAGTTTTATTTGTCACATGTCGAGGTTCATCAGTGAAAACAGGGTCTGACTCGGCAGCAGCTCAGACTGTAAAACCTTAAAAAATAAATTGATATAATGAAAAATATCACAATATTTGATGTTATTGAGTACCAAGCCTAGTTGACAGGAGTTTCAGCACACGGTTATAAACTTCAGCAAGCAAATGAATTAACCATCAAACGGTGACAGTTTAATGAATCTGTAGCTCATTAATCATGGATGTTGTTTTGACATATCTATAATGGGAATAACCCGTCTAAGAGTTCACACCTAGCATAAAGAAATGATGATGAAACTGAAAACAACATTAGGAAAGTGACATCTCAGACAGAGGAGGTGAATAAATCAGACTATAACCGATAAACTGATCTTTACTTTGAAGCCACCGAGGAAACGATGAAAAGGAATCCAATCGCCTCCATCAAACTGCTGCAGTCATTACTGTGGTTATTGGTGTCGGGGGGGGGGGGCAGATCTATTGTTGATCAGTCGGCGGTTGTGTAATTCATGTTTTTGTTTCGGACCTTTTTCACATCATAACTCATGTTAGAAGGAAAGATTTAAAGATGCAGTTAGATGAACAAAATCATGTTGTTTGCTGTTCCGCTCCCTATTTAACATTTATATATATATATATATATATATATTTTTTTTTATAACAGACTAATGTAGTTTAATACAGATATTATTTATTATAATGTAATTGTCAACAGCTTTAATTCCTCATGTGGGCACCAATATGTGGAGGCAGTCCTCACAGTAGAAGTTATATCTGCTGAGTATCATAGATATTTTAAATATACTTATATCTGCTTACAGCTATATTATAATGTATGATAACTATATAATAATTTGATTTATATACTGCTTTTTAAAGCTAAATAGGTAGAAGGAAAGATTTAAAGATGCAGTTAGATGAACAAAATCATGTTGTTTGCTGTTCCGCTCCCTATTTAACATTTATATATATATATATATATATATATTTTTTTTTATAACAGACTAATGTAGTTTAATACAGATATTATTTATTATAATGTAATTGTCAACAGCTTTAATTCCTCATGTGGGCACCAATATGTGGAGGCAGTCCTCACAGTAGAAGTTATATCTGCTGAGTATCAATAGATATTTAAAATATACTTATATCTTCTAACAGCTATATTATAATGTATGATAACTATATAATTTGATTTATATACTGCTTTTTAAAGCTAAATAGGGAGATTTAAAGTAAAGTGTTTCCATTGTTCCTCCTGTGGCCTCCATAGCTTCTTGTGACACACCTAGCAAGTGTTTTGGAGGCACAGGGAGGGGAGCACGACCTTTCTCTCAGTCAAGGCTAAGACGCAATTTATTTCTGTCGCCATCATGTTGCTTTGCTCTGACTCCCACCTGTGCACGCAGCTGTGGACATGAAATACCAAACAGTCAGAGCACAGTTCAAGAAGAGGAAAATGCCAATGTGTCGCAGGATGCTTGTTCTGCTCTTTGCACTTTCCTCTCTCTATTGTTTTTCCAATCATTTCCAGTGTGTTTCAGATCATCCTCTCAACAGTAGCAGCTTAAATGTCTCAACAGTTTGGTAACGAGCCTTCGTGTTTCTGCTCAGGTATATGGCTCCAGAGGTCCTGGACGACTCCATAAACATGAAACACTTTGAGTCTTTCAAGCGAGCTGACATCTACGCCATGGGATTGGTCTTCTGGGAGATCGCCAGCCGCTGCTCCATGGGAGGTGAGGATCAAATGAGGAGGGGGTGGGTCATTGAGTGATTGAGGGAATGATTGGGAGGTTGACAGATTAATGGAGGGAGTGATAGATGAATGGAGCAAGAGAGGTTCTGAATCAATTATGGAAATATTCAGACCAGTATTTGCATAGATGGAGAAACCACATCAAGTCAATTTATTTTATAGAGCACATTTAAAAATCACCCAAAGTGCTCTGCGATCGCTGCAGATGGATAATCAATACGAGTAAAGGTGTAAATAATACAAGGATAAAAACAAAATCGATACAATCGATTTTATTTTCATTTACATATTTTTATCATCTACTGTCTATTTTCATTGTCCTTCTATTCACCCTAATTTTATTTTACTAATTGATTAGTTTTTATTGTAAAGCACTTTGAGCTTCTGTAAATTAAGTTTATTATTATTATTGTTCCAGAGCTTGAGTGAAACTGCAGAAAACGTTGTGAATTGTGGAGCTAAGCCATTAAGAACTTTATAAACAAATATTAAGATTTAAAATCTGTATTTTACTGGTATCTTATGCAAGTTTGCCAGGACAGGAGTGATTTGTTGTCTTTTTTTTCTTTTTTTGTACCCAAAGTCTTACAGCTGCATTTTGAACAATTGTAATTGAAAAGGGTTGAAGGAATGGATCGAGGGAATTACAGTAATCCAACCAAGAGCTGACAAAAGCCTGGATGTTGTTGACGGGTCCTTCTGAGAAAACGGCTTTAATTTGTCCACATTTCTGAGCTGGTAATAGCTGCTCTTCACAACAGAACTGACTTGTTAAAATTCAGAGAAATGTCCAAGAGGATTTTTAAACACACTCTGACTTTGTAGATAAAGGACCAAACACAGCGTTCAAGGCAAATGACGGAGTGAGGAGGGTCGAATAGAAATACTTCAGTTTTGTTTTGATGTATTTGTTCAAAGTTTCTCACTATTTAGAACAATAAAAAGGTTCTTCTACAAGTCGGCACTGTCAAGTGTAAGTTGTAGATAAAACTGTCGTCAGAATAACGGCGATACAGAATATTATATTTCTGAAACGGATCCAAAAGGAAGCCTGATTAGTGAGATTAAAAGGGGGCCTAAAATTGAACCTTGAGGGATGCCACATTTAAGGGATGAAGAACAGTTCCCTCTTGTAAGTGAAGAGGTTCTACATCTCAGGTAAATCAGAATATTAACCACATTTATTTTCTGGCAGGCATCCATGAGGACTACCAGCTGCCCTACTACGACCTGGTTCAGTCAGATCCATCAGTGGAGGAGATGAGGAAGGTGGTCTGTGAGCAGAAGCTTCGGCCCAACATTCCCAACCGCTGGCAGAGCTGTGAGGTAGGACAGAGGACTCGAACTCACTGCGTAAAGGTGTCGAGTGTTTATGGGGAGAGATGTGTTGTTTTCAGGTTGTCTGTCTGTGTGTCGTCCCATTCTCCTGGACACGATATATCTTAGTAACGCCTTAACGGAAGTTCATCAAATCTGGCACAAACATTCACATGGACTCAGGGATGAACCGGTTTGATTTTGGTGGTCAAAGGTAAAGGTCAGTTTGACCTTGCAGCATTTCACTAAATCAGACATTGTCAGTCTGTGGGGCGTGTCTCCCCAGGGGTACGTGGGACAGTTGAAGGGGGGGCACTGAGGTAAAGGTAGGGATGAAGGAGGACACAGGTGTTCTGAAAACAGCTGGAGGCAGTAAAGGTACGTGACTGAGCCGTACCTCAGTCTCATCTGAACTTCCTCACCTGTTTTAACAGCCATGAAATATCAGGGCGCCGCTGCCTGACGCTCCTGCTGTGGGAGAAATCAGACGCTCTTTGGAGGAAATTCCTCGAGGAAAGTTGCGGCTCTTTTCTTCCTCGTTGGCACTTTTGGCATCGCCTCCCTCCGGTGTTCAGTGCTGTTTACGATACAACGCCGCAGCATCGGCGTGATGCTGCAACCGCAGCGTTTTCCATGAGGACACCCGTCAGTTTGTCGAGAGCTGGAGGCGGCTACTTGTAATTCTCTATGTAGGAGAAGCCCTGACAGTCACTCTGAACCTCAAAGGCCTGGAGTCCTTGTCAATAACACCGATCAATCATGTGACACACACACACACACAGGAACACAGGAACACACTCTCACACACTCCCCAGAGAGGAAGAAACCACTCAGCTTGCAGGAGGAGAAAGTGTGTGTGTGTGTTGTATCTCCTTTAGCTTCTGGTTTCAGGTTTACCTGTCTTATAGAGAGAGAGAGAGAGAGACACAAACACACACACACACACACACACACGCTCATGTTACCATGTGCTGTGTAGAGGAAGACTGTAACAGTTCAGATCTTCATAGTAAAACAAACATACTTGATAAAGTTCAGTGTATTTTCAAATTATTATATTATGTATTATATTATAAATATATTACTATTATTATTTTGTTACTGACTCTGTTGTTCTCAGTGAAGATGAAGCCAGTGACAGACATGATATGATAGCGTCCGACAGGTTAGCATTAGCCACTAATGACCTCTGTAGTTGTCGGATTCTTACTTTCATATCAATAACATGAGGTTTTCACATTCATTGAAGGTTGTTTAAGCAACAAATCACATGCGCACAGACACTGTGACATCATGCTGTGCAGATCAGGACGTAGACAGTTCAATGTGAATGATCAGTTTGGATTAGGTCCCGTTTTATTTTGAATTGAGATTCAAACACCTTTGAAATATTTCTATTGTATTTCTGTGACTTCAGTTCATTCGTTCTAAATATTGATCAACGTAATCAACGATGTCCATATTTTAAATCAATGGATCATGGAGGATGAGCACATCAGTTGAAATCCCTTCACTGTGAGTCGTGTTGAACCGGTGTTATTGTGATTATTATTGTTTATGGCGCACAGTGAGGTCAGTCACTGTGTGAAGGATCACTTCATGTGTTGGTGTCAGAGCTTTTTAATTTCTCTTGTTCTTGTAGCTGATGAGGACTCAAAGTCAGAAAGTCGTCTGCTGTTAGAACTGACTCTGGATGAGTGTTGGAGAAAATGTTTAGACCTGAATCTGAACCTTATTGATCACGTCAGAGTGTCAGATGAGACGATACAGGCGTCCATCTCCAGACCAGACTTCTTTATTAACACACACTCTGCTGTCCCGACACAGACTCTGTTGCTGGATATAAACACTGGAGCAGATCAGGATGACATCAGAGCTCATCTTCTAACCATTTACACCTGTAGTTTCTCCATTCAGGTTCTTTCTAAAGCAGCATCTCCACCTCTTGTTTAAATTAAACCGATGAAGGTTAGACTCTCTTCCTATTTTCTCATTCTCTCTCTCTCCCTCCCTCTCTCTCCCTGTCTCTCTCTCTGTCTCTCTCTCATTCTCTCTCTCTCAATCTCTCTCTCTCTCTCTCTCTCTCTCATTCTCTCTCTCCCTGTCTCTCTCTCATTCTCTGTCTCTTTCTCTCTCTCTCTGTCTCTCTCTCATTCTCTCTCTCTCTTTCTCTCTCTCTCTCCCTGTCTCTCTCTCTGTCTCTCTCTCTCTCTCTCTCTCTCTCTCTCTCTCTTCAGGGTTAGCCTTTCTTCTCTCAATGTACTTCTTTGTAGAGAGTTTCATGACTGCATATGTATATATTTTATAACTGTATTACTTTGACAGCACGGCTCTTCCATCTCTAGTTTAAACATTATATCTATAATATATAATGAATCCAGCAGAATGATGAATAAAGCTTTCAAATATCAACAGCTGTCAAACTCACAGACCTTAAGTTATAGCTGTAACTCAGTGAAAGCAGGAGCTACATCTGTAGATCTACTCAGGTATCAAATAAAAAGGATGCTTCAGATAATAAATTCAGATATTTTATCTATATTTCCATGGTTACAGTGTCACAGCTGATGCAGAGTGAAGAGGAGCCAAATATCAGCTGTCAAACACAGAGGTGTAGGTAGGTTCAGGATCTGAGGAGCCCGTTTGACACTGGGTATCTGCCCAGACCAGGTCCGACCTCTTCATCATGAGCAATGAAATAACTTTAATTACAATTTAAACTAAAAACTGTTTGTACACTGTGAGTTAATTGAGGTCGAAGGTCTAATAAAAACTCAAACTGAGTAAAAATATGTTATATTTATGGATGAATTATAAGTTACTGAAGCAGATAAAACATTTTACTGGGCGATAATTAGTGTTTTTAATGTTTGTTAATGAATTCAAACACTGCAGGTGTAAACCCTTTTCCAACACATTAGGAGGGTTAATTAACTGTGGATTAAATGTATTTGACACGTTGATATCACAATGCTGGAGACTCGTTAATCTTATTTGAGCATCTTGATCCAAATAGTGAAAGTCAAAATACAAAGTTTATGATCTTAAATGTTATGAAAAGTTTAATTGGACCAACCCTGACAGTGACGTCTCACTCTGGTGGATTTGTTAAAACTAAATAAATACTTGTGGTTGTTCAGTGTTGTTACAGAGTGGAGCTTCTTCCCTCACAAGCTATCTTTGACAAACCGACAACAGTCAAGTTCAAATTACTCACTGAATTAACATTGATTAGTGACAGCTGAGCTGCAGTAATGAAGGGATCCAGATTTGATTTGTTATTTTAGCTGAAACTGATTAAATTAAAATCGGCCCAGATGAGACCTGATGCAGATCCTGACGATCAGCTGAGGACGTCTCCGTCAGGGTCATCCTCGATAACAGCAGGATGAAGCTGCTGACTGTTACTGGGAAACATCAAAGCTCCTCCAGTGTAAAGGTCTGTGTCCATGTGTAGTGTGATTATAGATCAGCTCTAGCTTCTATATTAATACTGTGAAAGTATCAAAGCCTCAGTCCACAGAGAAATGCACACAGCCTGTATTCAGAAACTGAGCCTTAAAACCAGCCGTCAGGACTTCTGGAACTTTGTGATGTCACAACAAAGCAGTCGCCAAGCCCCGCCCCCTTTTCTAAAGACAGAGACACTGTTGCTGCTGTTTTTTAATTGTGGATATTTAACTTGACATCAGAACCTGTTCCCATCGCACTCACTCTTCTTTTTATTATGCAACGTGCACCAATCAGGCTCCACGTTTTCAGTTAATTTCTCTTATTTTATCAGATACTTCAGACCAACCCCCTTCCATTATAAACACAAACTAACAACCACAAGTTCAGGTGCCCAGCAGCTCATTAGTAATAATAATAATAGTTAATAATAAACGATAAACAATAATAAATTGGTCCAGTTCATGAGCCACCTCATGAACACTGACGGCAGTGGGGACAAAGGATCTGAACCTCTCTGTAAAAAAGGTATTAAATTAATTAAAGTAAAATTTAAAGATGAATCAGATTTGGGTTTGTATTTTCCCGCTGGTGAAAGCCTCCGGTTTTATCTCCACTGTTCATCTTCACCCAGATCATCGACTGTTACACTGTGAACAGTTCATTCACTTTATGTAACTGGGATCTGGTTTCACTGTTTGGTCTGGAGATGAACTCAGGAATGTCTCAACACACACACACACACAAACACACACGCACACACACGCCTCTCACATTCACACAGCAATGATCCACAGACTGATAATGACACAGACTGACAAACAGGTTCAGTAAGGTGAAACCACAGACACAGTGTTTGTTTGTGAACGCAGCTCGATCAATTATTAGAAAAAGCTGATGATTGATCTTGTTGGTGTTCGACTCGTCCTCCTCCTGAATGTTCGACCAAGTTAGAGAACCCAGAGTTTAGTTTTAATCTTTTAATTTCTTTACTTTCAGCTATTGTGCTTTGTTGCAGAATATCGTGTGTAGCTCCGTATCGGAAATTATCTGCGCCCATACGAACACACCTGAACACACACATCACATGATCATTCACAAACACTGGGCGCTGGTGGAAACAGGAAGCAGACTGTCGACGCCGCAGCTGCTTAAAGTTGCAGAAATCACGCCAAGCGAGGACGACGAGGTGGAACCGTCACTGAAAGTCACACAAGTCTGAGGTGGAAAACATATGCTGTGTCTCATACGAGCCAATCAGGAAGCGAACGTCTGCGTCATCGTTTCCAAAAAACGTCTCCCTGGAGTTTTCAGACTGAAACGTCGTGCGAAGTACGAGGCCTCTGAGAATAACGTGTCAAATTTTTGTGTAAGGTTCAGACAACACCCACGGCTCGTAATATTAGTCCGTTAGTATTTTTAATTAATGTTGTCACAGAAACACAAAGGAATAAACTGTCTCTCAACTTCTGCAACTTGTTGGATGATAAAATAAATAAGTAATTAAACAGTTTCCATCATTTCAGAGGTGCTGCAGATATTTCTGTCAAAACGTATTATTTTTAATAATGTACACAGGTGCCAGTATGTAGTTTATACAGAACTGTGAAACTCTTCAGGATGTTGTAACTGAAGCGCAAGAAAGACTCATGCAGAGATAATTATCTCTCATGTCCAATTTCATATTTATTTTTTAAGAAAGAACAGCTTAAACGAAAACGATGAGTCACTGTTCGTTTCCCTCTCTGCTATTATCTCTCCTTAGTGTGCAGACACTAATCAGCACTAACGGCTGAAATGTTCCTGTGTGGCTCCTTGTGACTAAATGTGGTCAGACGAGTCTCCTCACGGTCTAAAGTGGATCCATTTGAGACCCAGAATTAAGATCCTTCAGTGTCTCAGTCGTTCCTGGTTCTAACGGCAGCGTTCCTCCACCATTCAGCTGTAAATGAGAATGGCAGATAAAAGCGGACCTGTCATATATATGTATATATGTATGTATATTCCCTTCAGCAGAAAGTCTTTGTCTTTAGGAAGAATTCTTTTTCTCAAAGATCTTTTCACTAGATTTTCCACAAATGGACAGAGTGTATATTAATGTACAGTGGCTTCATCAGTGTAGCATTACTTTACCAAAATGTGCAATTTGTATAGTGTCAACTTTACAGCACATGCACATATTAAAATGAGCAAAACATGCAACCTGAACTCCTTCAACCCTCGCCAGCCCAAGCTCCCTGTGCAGCCCAGAGATCCTCGTGTGAGGAGGTCTTTCTCCCCGGGAGAGAACAGAGAGGAAGTCTGGTTTTACATTTAGAAAAGAGAGGAAATAAATGAATAACAAATGGATAACCTTCTATTACTGACAAAAACCATCTCAACGACAAAAAAATAAATTAATAAAAGGGGAAATCAGTCTTTAGTAAGAATTCAACAGTTACAAGGATGTTTTACTTGAAGAGAGAAAAAATAAGATAAAAAATCTGATTGGAAACAGAATAAAAATGGCTGCCATCTCAAAAAACTCTTTTCCTTCTCTTCACTCTCTCCATCACAACGTTAGCAAACCACAAATTATCAGCCATGTTTTCCTGTTTCTTGTTGTCGGGTGCTGCTGGTCAGCACAGGTGTCACTGATTGTTACCATGGTAACATTGGTCTCGGGCCTGAGTTAGGATGGAGTTAAGGTGTCTAATTTTGAAGAGCCTAGAGCTAATATTCTCCATGTCTCTGTCAGAGCAGTTACATAACATACAGAATGAGATAAATAAGGTTTGTTTTTTTACTGTGTGTGTGTGTCTGTGTGTCTCTCTGTCTCTGTCTGTGTGTGTGTGTGTCTGTGTGTGAGTGTGTGTGTGTCTCAGATGGCTTGTTTATGGCAGTGTGCAGTTGGCTCTCGTCCACCTGATGAATGGAGGACTGGAGTGTGTGTCGGCTGTCTTAATGAGCACTGTAGGAAGTTTCACAGATGATGCAACTCACCAGTCAGACACTGAGAGAGACACACACACACACACACACACACACACACACACACACACACACACACACACACACACACACACACACACGACTGGACTCATACATACCAGATGCTGTTTACAGCCCCACTGAGGGAGACGTGAAGAGATGAGTGTAAACTCTGGAAGCTTCAGCTCTTATTTCACAGCCTGTTTAAACGTCTAGTTGGAGACGAGAGGAAAGAGTTTCCTTTTTTAAAAAAGAAAAAAAAAAAATCAAACTGAGAAATAATTAAATTAAAATAATGTTTATATAACGTAAACCTAAGAACAGAGGAGGAATAGCTGCTGTTTCAGGGCCTTTCTTCAGAATCATCCTCAGGAGCCGACGGTCAGGACACGACGTTAAAGAACGTTTCATATATTGAAACTATAAAATCTTTTGAATCAGAAATCTTTCCTCCAGCCACAAGACTCCAGTCCTGATCATCCGTATGAGAAGTTACATCGAAACTTAACTTCTTACTTCTTCTTTTTAAAAACTTTCACAGATGTTTCTCCTCCACATCTGTCCACATCTGTCGCAGTGCTGCTGTTTCTGTGGCTGTTATGGTTTTGTTTGTGTTGTAACAAAAGAACCAAAGTTAAAGCACATGAACAATTAACTTTTGGCTGATATAGTTTTAGGGGTCCATTGGTTTAGGATTGGTTTATTATTAGTTCTAACTTTAGTTTTTATTCCTCTGCTCCGGAGCCATTTTGTTTTCAGGTTGTTCGTCTATCCATCCCTTTCTCGAGGACACGATATCTCAGTAACGTTTTGACAGAACTTCTTCAAATTTGGTACAAACATTCACTGGGATTCAAGGATGAACTGATTAGATTTTGGTGGCTAAAGGTCAAAGGTGAAGGTCACGGTGACCCAACAAAACATGATTTTGGCCTTTTAAACGCTTTGAGGAGATTTCTTCAAATCTGGTAAAAACGTTCACCTGGACTCAAGGACGAACTGATTGGTTTTTGGCTGATAGAGGTCAAAGGTCAGTGTGACCTTAGAAACACTTTTTAGCCATTACTCAAGACTTCACACAAATAGTCGATATTTTCTGTGACGCTGGATAAACGGGGATGTAATCTGAAACTAGTCTGAGTGGCGGAGGGATACGACCACGAGGAGGTGGTTCTAGTTTCTGTTTGTATTTTGTGAGTTAATAAAGTTAAAAAAAAAACAAACTGTTGACCATCATGTTATTGAGTCGTAGTAACTTGGGTCCCGTCTCTCCCCTGCAGGCCCTGCGGGTGATGGCGAAGATCATGAGGGAGTGCTGGTACGCCAACGGCGCCGCCCGACTCACCGCTCTCCGAATCAAGAAGACCCTGTCCCAGCTCAGCCAACAGGAGGGAATCAAGATGTAGACACAACTACCAAACACACACACGCACACACACACACACACACACGCACCCACACACCTCTGACTGGCATCCATATCGTTAGCATTACAGCATTATTATCTTCATTATTACTCATTGGTTGCTCCTCCCCTTTGGTTTGAAGAGAAGTGAAGAATATTTTTCCCCTCGTGCTCTTTTTTTTTTCCCCATTTCATTCATTGACAAACTGATGAATCCTGCACCTGAAACTCAGGAACCATCAGTGTGTGTGCGTTGCTCTGACACACACACATGGATGGCTGGATCGATGGATGGATGGATGGATGGATCTGATGAGGGGTGTTTGTTTCTGAAGGGGATAAAAGAGGCATTAAAAGATGCCTCCACTCATTATCCTCCATGTTCATTTACTATATTCATCCCATGAAGACCCACAGAGGCACCTGGTCCATCTCAGCCCCCCGCCCCCCCGCCCGACTCCACCCAACCTGTGTGAGCTCAGACCTCACCGGGTGAACTAAAGGCCAGACAGGTAGCTGGGAATCACCTGGGAGACCTCTGAGCTGCCGGAGCTTCACCCTCACCCCCTCACATCTTCATCATCACCTCCTCATCTGTATATTAGCGTTTCATCCTTTACTACAGAGGGTTCAGCTGCTCTTCAGTGGGGCTGCACGGCGCTCATTTACATCCTCATCAAATAATCAGATTTCAGAGAGTGAGAAAAATATTCAAACATATGTTCTTCAGTGAATGTAACTTAATTAAAAAGACAAATATTAAATTTTTGGATGTAAAAATTCAAGCCAATTTAAAAGATAAAAAAGAAAAATTCAATCTTGGAAACATCCTGACGCCAAGAATAAACGATCAAACCAGAAGCTTCAGTTTTGACTGACACTAAATAACTCACCAGTTTAATAGGAACAGCTGCAAGATTTCTTCAATGTCAGAGAATGGACGAAAACCTCGACTTAACCAACAGTATTTCAGAGTAAAGATCATTTAACAAAGTAAAGCGCCATGAGGTCGTTTGCAGCCCCGCTCTCGAGTCGTGTCACAGCAGCACTGGGGACTGAAGCGAGGACCGGGGGATCATGGGACAGCGTGCGAGCCGCCCTGTGGGCTTCACACCAACGTTGGCTTCATGTAGTCGAGTAGTGAGCAGAATCTCTCATCTCTGCAACAATTTTGCACCTGTTTTTCATATGTTACTGTTGTACTTCCCCGTCTCCCCTGATATCGTCAGGGAGACGGACAGGTCAGTTTAATTTATTGTGTTGTTTTTTTAAATTTTCTTTTCGGTGGCAGGGGATCTTTTTTGCAAAACTAAAACTGGACATGATGACCTCATTCATTTTTGGCGAACATGCTGCAACATATGCAATATACAGTAGATAAATGTGTCTATTTTCTATACTCTGCTCTGCTAAACCACAAACAGCAACAACAACAACAACAACAACAACAATCAGCTGCCACCATGCCTTCCAAGCCAGCTGTTACCGGAAAGTGCCAGTGCTTTAAAAACCCGACTCCTCTCATGTCGGCTGCTGTGGGGTGGGTGTGTTCTCGCATGTATGCAGCTCTGTGTGTGTGTGTGTGTGTGTGTGTGTGTGTGTCGGAGGACGAGGCCTGCGGGAGCCCTGCCGAGCAAACAGCAAGCTCGTACTATGCACACCCACGACGTAGGGACGGGAAGCAAGAAGGGACACACACACACCACAGCACAGCACCCACAACCCAGCCGACTCTCTGGTGCCATTTCGTCAAACCCCCCCCCCCCCTTCACCTGAACACCTGAACACCTGACCACCTCAGCAACAACTCATTGTACAGCTTCTCCTCTCAGTGGACTGAGTCTGGAAACTGAGCTCCAGCACCTCAAACTGTGTCTCGTTGGAAAAACTTCACCACAAAAGCTTAACGGCGGCTTTCGAAAAGACACACAAAGACTTGTAAGCATTACTGATGTTGCCCTATAAATGTAAACTCTTGGATTCCTGTTTTTTTGTTCTCTCACGTGTTTGTGCCGTTGACAGCGCAGCAGCGCGAATCGACCTTTCAAGTGTTTTCTTCTCTGTAGGATAATCAACAAAAAAAAAACAGTGAGGTACATTCATTTAAATATAGCAAACGGATATTTACTAAGCCATAGGTTTTCCAGGTTGTTTCATTTTATTCTTTTTTTTTTTTTTTTTTTTTTTTTTTTTTTTGTGGCAAGGTCTTTTTCTACCAGAATGTACATTTACGAGAAAAAAGATGAAAAAAAAATGTGCGTAAAATGGACAATTTTACCATTTCAGCTTAGCAAGCCTTAAGGGACCAACGCATAAGAGTCAAAAACTGCTCTTATTTTTCTTTTTTCCCTTTTATTTTTGTTTTATTTTTTATTTTAAAGATAAATACACACACATATATATACACATATATACGTATATATGTATGTATATATAAATTGATTACTAAAGCTAAAGTCTACTAAAGGTAGTGTCATGATTCTATCTATAGGACGAAAAAAATATATGTAGCACCTGATGTGAGTTTGTTTCAGTCAAGTGTTTGTCCTGTTGCCACATTGCCAGACATCTAAACCCACTCTATCTTATCTCTGCAGATTAGTCCATCGAAAGCACTTGTCTTTCAGCACAGGTCGAAATAAAATGCATGATTAGAGACGGTTTAAATACACAAAGTATTAAACCCTCAATAATTAATGCATCCAGTAAATTAGACCTGCCGGACAGTGCTGCACTCAAAGAAATCCCACAGTCTCTTGATTGTTCAGCAATAAGTGCACTTCTGAACCACTGCGGGTTTACCTGTGTGGCAATTTGGACGCCCGCGAGTCCGTCTGTCTCCATTGTTTCTCTTACATAATGGATACATAATGTATTGATGTGCTGCTACTTAGTTGTCCACCTCGCTCTCCGAGTCGAGGTGAGAGCTGCCGTTGGATGTAAATATCCTCAGATTGCCTGAATCTGAATCATTCTGTGCCATGTTGCTCTGACGCAAATCCAGCGCATTTGTCATTCGGTAGGCAATCCTCTACAAGATTTGCTGAAGTGTGTTAAAGAGTTTGTTTTTCAGCCGGCGTTCGCGGAGCTCGTTTCACTGATGAGCTCTTCCTCCCTGGTTCAAAGTGAGGATCGGTTCAATCAGTCGCTGTAGATTGGAAAAGCTGCAGCCTCCATGGAGCATGGTTGAAAACCACTGTGCCAATCTATCAGTGGGATTCGGAGGAGCTTGTTCTCTCCACTTTTGAGTCCCACACAGTCAGAAATGCATTTAGAGATATTTTCCTCCACTAGAAGCCCAGGTTTGGGGGGGGGGGATTCTTGTTGAGAGATTTGTTCAGTAAAAAGTACTTTCTCTCCATAAACACCCCCCCCTCCCCCGTTGATGGCCTTAAAGCAACTGATAATGTAATAACACATAGATAAATGTCATAATCCGTCAAAATTAAAAACTGCACTGCCCCTCTAAAAAATATAATAAAACCTTTTGAGCATTTAATTACAAGATGACGTAATAGCAGCACTAATGCACCTCTTTTTAAGGCAGTTATTGTCAGTCAGAGGAAGCCTAGTTCCCATTACTCTCCAGGCTGCATCAGTGGTTTCTGTCTGAAATGATTTTTCAGCATCAGTTCTGAGATTTGATTTTTTTTTAACCACAAATTGAAACAAACAAATAAAAAAATCTCCAGTTATTAGACAACTTTCGGAGGTATCCAGCGATCCTCAGCCAAATCGGGGAATCGATCAGTATCTTAATGTTGAGTATGTCCAGGCTTTGATCAGTGACTCCCCGCGAGGAAACCCTAAGCTCAGCACAACAGGAAGTCAGGAGTGACAACACCTTTTAAGCCACTGATGAAAAGTCCTAGAAGAGCTCAGAATAATGTGACGTTTAATGTTTCTGAAGAAAAAGACACAACCTGCACCACATCCTGTTGGCTGAAGTAAAATATCAAAACATTTCTAATGTGAAAAATCCATTTCTGTAAAAATTACATTATCAGTTGCTACAGGTTCATTTAGCAATTCCCTTGTCGTCCTTAAAAAAAAATTGAGACTTTGGTTAAAAAAGAAAAAGAAAAAAAACTTTGACAAAAAGCTGTTAAGGTGTGAAGTGCCCACCTGTGTAGTCCCACCGTTCAGAGTCGTTCTTGTGAATGAAGTGTTATTACATATGTAGAAATGGTGCAGCAGTGGCAGGAAGTGACATAAGCCTTGTAAATATCTTGTGGAGTAAACAGCAGAAGAAGAAGCTATCCTGATATTTGAAGAAAGTAAAGTGGATATCGCTGCTATATTAAATACAAAAAGGGTGAGACTATGCTGAATTCAATGTTAAATGTGTAAACTAATGGGCCAACTGGGTCTTACCAGGGAAAACCAGGGCCAAGGATTTGTCTTTCTAAGCCATGTGGGTTTGGGGGAAAGGGGAGGGGGGGGATTGGTGGTGGTATGGGAAACTCTAAATTTCAAATCTCAAAGTATCCCTTTAAGTAAGCCCTGGCTATCCCTGCTGGGCCTTAGGGTGGGATTGAGACCGTATAGTGTGTGTGCTCCATTAGCAATGTCATTCTCTGGGACATTAGCAACAACAAAAGCTCAACTCAACAGCACCTCTGGTATGCCTCTACTAGGACAACCTTCATTCTGTCTTAAAGTCACCAGCAGCCTTGTACTTTTTCTTTTCAAAACCCAAGATGACTTAACTGTAAAAAGATGTTTGCACCCAACTGTTTTTTCTCTTGTGGTCTTTATACAGCAGTCTTTCTTTCCTTGATTCTCTCTTGCCTTTCTCTCTTGTCATTCCATGTCATTCTCTAATTGACATAACAGATATCTCCTAGCTACAAGGGCCACTCTTCACTGCAGCCGGTTCACTCGCCCCATAACGGGCCAACCAACTCCCATCTATCCCTGCCTGATTTTACTTCTTCATCTCTCTAAACTCGGATCTTACATTTAAGGGTGTGCTTGAAACAAACTAGTTGGTATGATGCACAAATGGGGACAGCGGTTCACACTTGTAGACAGTCTCTCCTTTAAGGTATTCATGGCGTTGTCCTCAGATGTACACGAGACGGAAGTAGTTGTGCGGAGAATGATTCAAACTGTCTCACCTCTACGTGGCTGCACACTAGTCAGCTTGTCGGTTTTTGGAAAGTTACAAAAATTGACCGAAAGCGCTTGAAGAGTGTCTTCAAGAGCACTCCATCAATTTGGCATTCTAATACTGACTCTCAAACCCAAACACAATGCAACTGGACCAGTCAGTGGAGTTTCCCTTATAGGACTGTCCAGATTCTGTCTGAAACCTCCTGCAACCCCCACCCGCCTTCCAGTGTTGAAATTGGGGGGGGGCTGCATCCAATCTTCCTTTACCTTTCGGAAAACCACCAATCTGACCAACATCATGAATGTGTTCCAGG